AAAAACGCTCCCAGAGCTATCCCCCCGGAAGACATTCCCTTTTCCAGCCTGCACACCAGGCTGTGTAGAGCCGTCTCCGTGGACATACCAGCCCTGTAAGCATGTTGGAACGGATGTAGTGGTCTACTAACCAGTACGCCATTCCTTATGTATGCATCCACCAGCTTCTCCACCGTTTTTAGAAGAAACGATGATAGGCTGATGGGCCTATAGTCCTTCGCCACGTCATATTTAGCACGACCCGGCTTAGGTAGGTACACAACTCTTACCTTCCTCCAGCTTTCAGGGATATACCCTAAAGCCAGAGAGGCTCTGAAGAGATGCAACAAGTGTAAGAGCAGCGGATCCAGGCCCTTCTGTAGAAGAGCCGGGAATATCCCATCCGGTCCTGCACTCTTAAATGGGCTGAACGTGTTGACCGCGCATCTCAGAGATCCCTCGGTAACCACCCGGGAAGCTACCTTCCAGTTAATCGGCCTTACACCGACCCGAGTAGCTCCTTTTGGTGGGTCCGAAGTTAAGTAGTCCCCAGAGTCTGGAAAGTGTGTTTCCAGGAGACATGTGAGTGCCTCACCCGCGGTAGACGTATATCTGCCGCATGGAAGCCTCAGTGTCCCCACCTTTTGCCCCGGGTCCTTCAAAAGGATTTTACGAAGTTTTTGAACTTCAGGAAGACCTTCCATGTTACCACAGAAAGTCCTCCAAGATCCTCGTTTCGACCTCCGAATATGGTCCTTATACCTGCGCTGGGAGATCTTAAGATCTTCCCAGTCCGCAGGTAACTTAGTTCGCATGGCCCTATTAAAGAGCCTGCGAACCTCCTTACGAGCCTTTTCAAGGTCTGAGTTCCACCAAGGTGTTCTCTTCTTTCCTCGAAAGGTACGCAGTTTACAGCTGTCCTCATAGGACGCTGTTATGGCGTCACTTACTAATGCGGCCGCCTCTTCCAACTGCCCTGCTTTCCGACAGAGCAAAGGTGGTCTATCCAACCGGTCCGACAGTTTTGCCACATAGCAGTCCCAGTCAGTGGATCGGGGATTCCGCAACCTACAGGGCCCGCAGTGCAATGCCAGGTTCACTTGGAAGAGAATGTGCCTGTGGTCCGAAAGCGACGGCTCATCAGACACTCTCCAATTCGTGATCATGTGAGCTATTGAAAAGGAGCCCAGCGTCAGATCAATGACCTCCTGCTTCCGCGCTGTGACGAAGGTAGGGGCTGCTCCCTGATTTAAAACATGCAAATCAGTTGTTTGCAAGTACTCCAGAAGGTGGTCGCCCCTCGAGTTCGTGTCCGTGCTGCCCCACACAACATGGTGTGCGTTTGCATCACAGCCAACCACAAGAGGGAGCCCATTACTTCGACAGTACTCTATCAACTCAGCCAGCTCCTTGGTTGGTGGAGCCCCTTCTGAGTCGTACGGGAGATAGGCGGAGCAGACCACCAAGTGCCTGCCCCGTCCTCTGTCATCTTTCAGCTGAAGTCGTAGAGCTACGAGATCCCTGAAACAAAAATCAGCTATTAGATAAGACTCGATTCGTCTATCGACATAAATGCAAGTCCTCGGGTTCAGTTGGCTGTCCCTCTTATAATAAAGAGAGTCCTCCACCTGGCCCAGACCTCTTACTCGTCCCTTGTAAACCCAAGGTTCTTGTATGAGGCATACGCCTGTCTGCTTTACAGCAAGTTGACGACCTATTAGACAGGTCGCCCCCTTACTGTGCTGCAAATTGCTCTGTAAGAAGGTTACTTTGTCCATCACTGATGTACTAGGTTCCCTCCTCCGTTAGCGATGCCGACGGTTCCGACCCCTGGTCGGAGCCAAGAACCGCCACACGAGCCAAAAGCTCGCTGACATCTTTCTCGATCTCTTCGGGTGCCGGGAGCAATCCCGCCGCCTCTTCGAGATCAACACCGCGAGGTTGAGCCCCCTCCGTCGCAACGGAACTAGGTCCCGCTGCTTCGGTGGAGCTCTCTCCCTTACCTTGCGCAGCCGGAGCACCCGCTTTCGTCACAAAAGTGACGCGCGAGACCCCCGCGTGCGCCTGAAAGTTCTGTCGCTGGAGTGCCTGATAGGACGTCTCATCGACACGAAATGCGAGGAGAATCCTACCAGGCTCCTCCCTGCGAAAGAACGTCCTCCATAGACTCGTCCTGAAACCAGGATTTTGCCTCTGGAGGCGCTTCAAAATGGTGTCCGTGTCATCCGGGAGCCCGTACAACACAGCCATCACCTTGGTTACCCTCGGGACGTGCCTCTGAACTTTCAGCGACGCGCCATCCCAGGGCCGGATAAGAGGGACGGTCCTCTCCAACCAGTCCAAGGTCCACTGGTCCTCGCATTCGGCCACGATGGCACCCTGCGGATTCCAGCGGAACCCTGCCAGCCGAGGAAAGGGCCCTCCCTCCATCTGGTCTACGACTGCATTCAATGCAGCCATAATGCACCTCGACTGAGCCTCAGAGATGTCCACCTCCGGGTATGAAACCGGAACGACGGCCACCTTAAGCCCTGCCGCAGCGACTTGCCCATAAGTTCGTGGTGCACCCTTGGGTGCATCAGAACCTCTAGGCTTCTTCTCAGGCTGCCTTGAGCCAGACCCTGGAGTGCTTCCCTCTGATCTGAGACGCTTAGTCCCTGACGTCGGGTTGCCCCCCTGAGCCAACGACCCAGACGCAGCCTTAGGCTTTGGCGCAGGGCCCGCTTGACCCGAGGTTTTACCCTCGAGCCGGCGCTTCCTGGCCATCGCCTTCTGTGCGCCAGTCCTATTCTTCTTGCGAATAGGAGCTGACCCACCACCAGGTCCTTGGGTAAGGCCCTGCGTTGGAGCCGTCCCCTCTTTCGAGGAGACTGCCCCGTTACCGGGCCCCTTTTGAGGGCCCGGCTTGTTGGTCCCCTCTGACGAGGAGCCCAGAAAGGTTTTGTGTGAAGATTCCATACAATTCCCACGAGTAGTGCGGAAATGCGGTCTCACCTGGGCAGAGCCGCTTGCCCAGGGCTTGGCTGCCAGCCCCTTCCCAAAGGAAAGGAGCCACCACTCGGAGGTCGCCCGGTATCCGAGGGGCACCGTTATCGACACTGCACCCCAGTGCCACGCGGTCCTCGGCACGGTCGCTAACACCTTGACTTGGGAGGTTGGTCCGCGGCGACGACCTTCGTCTGGGTTTTAGCCCCGACGAGCCACTTATAATCGTCACTACCCACACCGAAGCACGAGTCACGTACGATCATTCAAGTGTCTGTATGGGCTTTCCCCTATCCGCCACCCGGGGACGCGCCCGATGGGTGCCTAACCACACGGGGTCGTATGTGTTAATCAGCAATGTATTTTTTCACAAAGGATCCACGAAGGCTTTGAAATTAGCGTTCAACGTACTACTGCAATCTCTTTCTAGCATCAAGCAAGCGTGTTATTGAACGCTAACTTCAAATAAATATCAAAGGCCTCGTGGATCCTTCGCGAAATAATACCTTAATTCTGTTTGCCTATGGTGCGTTCAATCTGGGACATACGGTACATTACCTGTTTGTCGTTGGACATCCTGTGTGGGCTATTTTTTCGGTAGACAAATTATGCCCTTTTTACTTTTCTTTTTTTTTAACTGTTCACCTCAGTCGAGGTGCGTCATCACTCATGGCTGCTTTGAATGTAGTTGTTGACGAGATAGAGAGGAGGGGGGGACTTTCCTCGGCTGGCAAGGTTTCGCTGGAGTCCGCGGGATGCCATTGTGGCCGACTGCGAGGACCAATAGACTTTACTTTGGATTGATTGGAAAGAACCGTGCTCGATACACGTACCTAGGGTAACCAAGGTGATGGTTGTGTTATAGGGCTCCCGGATGACACGGTCACCATCTTGAACCACAAGCAACATCCTGGGTTCAGGACGAGTCTAGGGAGGGGCCTGGTAGGGTCCTCATCGCATTATTGGGGATCGATGAGGCCTCATATCGGGCACTCCAGCGCACGCAGGGGTGTCGCTTTTGTGACGGAAAACGAGTGCTCCGACTGCGCCAGGTAAGGGAGGGGGCTAATCTCGAAGGTACGTCGGTATTACGGCGCCTTCAGAGATCGACAAAGATGCCGACGAGCTTTGGGTGCCGGTTTTTGGCTCCGACCAAGTGTCAGAACCGTCGTCATTACTAGGGGAGGGAGGAACCTATAGTACATCAGTAACGGACGAGGTGGCCTTCTTCATAGAGTATTATTAGTCTATGCCTCCTTGTAGAGCAATTTGCAGCACAGTAAAGGAGCGACCTACCCCCACTTGCTGTAAACCAGACAGGTGTATGTCTTATACACCTTGGTGGAACTCAGACCTTGAAAAGGTTCGTAGGGGGGTTCGGAGGCTCTTTAATAGAGCCATGCTAACTAAGCTGCCTGTGGATGGAGATGATCGTAAAATTACTCAGCGCAGGTATATATAAGGACCATATTCGAAAGTTTAACAAGAATCATGCAGGACCTCCTGTGATAACATGGAAGGCCTTCCTGAAGTTCAAAGTCCTTATGAGTTCGTTTTTTAAATAAACATTAATTATTATTATTATGGTCGATGTTTCTTGTGAGAACTCAGGTCTAGCCTGGTTAACTAATCGCACGGATTAAAATCAAGTAACGATTAGTGTTAAGATCCTAGTATCGTGAGGCTTTCATGCGGATATCCGTCTAACGCAGGTGAGGCTCTTAAAGGTCTCCTGGAAACACACTTTTCTGGAGACTACTAATTTCGAACCCAACAAAAGGGTCGGTGTAAGGCCGTTCGATTGGAACAGCTGCCTGGTTGAATACCGAGGGATCTCTCAGATGGGGGGCCAACACGTTCAACCCATTGAATAAGCAAAAGGAGGGATATTCCCTGGGGCACTAGTTCTTAGACCATAACATCCACTACACTACAGGGGGGGGGGGGGGGAGTTTCATTCCGATATTTGATTCCTAAAAATTAAACTTTGGGAATCATTGCTTTATACCTTGTTAAGTTTCAAATTATCACAAGAATGAAGAATAATCACTTTATTCAAAAATTCTCCCAGCCTAACCTGGAGATAAATGCTACGTTGTACCAGACTGTACTGTAGTAATGAAAACATCTCAGTGCGGGATATCTACATAGTACACATATTTTAATCGACTCTGTCAAGTGCAATAAATAAAACATTGTTGAGGAACTACATTAATGTTACAAGCAAAGATAAAATGAAAGCTAATACAGTAATTGAAGCTAAATTACTGACACTGCCGTTCTGATCTAAATGCAAGCTCATTTTTAAATCATCAGGCAGATCGACGTAAACCTTATTTACACCCAATCTAAAAATAAGCTCACGCAAAGTTGGAATGTCAACGTAATCGCCATTGCCATTCCACAGAGTTAAGGTAGAATCATTGACGCTCTTGACAATTTTGTCCAGTTGTTCTAAACTTTGCGCTGCAATTCCTGCTCGTACCGGAAACGTGATTGGCTGTGTAACATTGTGAAAACGAATAACATTGATCATTTCTTCTATTTGCTGATCAGTATAAGACGCGTTGGTTATATTTGCAGGTCCTCCATAGAGAGTTTTCCAGCCAATGGAGAGGGTAGCGTTCGCGAACGTTTCGGCAACTTTTAAAAAACGCGCCGCGTCAACAGGTGGGTCGACAGTGTTTAAAGGACCTGGAAGTATATCCGCGTTGAGCCATAATGGGAAAGTGATCGCCGGGTACATTTTTCCAATAATCGGCGAAGACTTTTCTACGGCTTCGATCGACTTGAAATCTAATTTGATTCCCTTCGGCGCGCTGGAGTTCATGTTGTTATTTTGGACTGCTTGCAGAAACATTTCTAAGGAAAGATCCGAATTGTTTGCTGGAGGATGACCCATAATTGGAATTGGATCCGGTTCATTGTTGAGGGTGCCAATTATCACATCTGCTTCCAACATCATTACGGAACCTTAAGAATACGCAGAGTGATTGCAGGTCTAGGTTGACACGATCTTACCGTTTAAAGCAGTTTGGAGAAGAGCTTGCGAATTTACTGCGTGCGCCCATGTTATAGCTGTGAGGTTACCCTTGACATTGGGAAAAAATGCAGCGGTGTGGTCAGGGACAGATAATGAGAGTGTCACTGAAAGATACGAGCGTTAGATTAAATGAAAATTGTCGGTTTTACATGTAAGTGTTATTAAAGATAAAAGCTTTAATGCGTCAAATAACATTGGCATCAATGATCAGTTGGAATCGATCGCGAGGAAAATTATTTACGAAGGACAAGGCGTGATTGAAAATACCCCGTCGTTATAAGAATAAAGAAATACTTTTGAATTTGTGTAGCAAATAACCAGAGGTTTCGCGTTCGCGTGCTAGGTCCCTTTGAGATCTGAAGTTACTTTTGCCCCCCCCCCCCCCCGCGCAAGTCACAGATGTCTCATGTATTTACGACACAATCTAGTAATATTTTCTGCAAAATATATATATTTGCGTCCCTGAGGCGCCCCTTGGAGGTCCATAAAATGGTGTCTAACTCTATCCCATTACAATAAAACATTGAAGCTAATAAGATAAACAATATTTGTACGGTGATTATAAAGATTAACGTCTTATGGGAAGGTGCCACATCCTGTTGAAATAAAAATATTTTGTTGCTAAATGGGAATGAGCGTTTAAGTGAAATTAAAAAATGCAAAAAATGAATGATCCATCTAACAACAAATTTTGACAACCGCTGAATTGTTTATAATCAACTGCCAACGTAAAAAATTCATTTGCATTCGTGCCCCATGAATCATCAATCACAAGTTTACTTCGCCAAAAATTGTAGTATTAATAGTATTATGAAAATAATCTAGCTTGACTTTGTGAAAATAAAAAAAACACTTACCACAATTCACAAGAATGGAGAAAAACATTAACTCCATTGTTGCCAATACTTACAGGTACATGTGCAAATTTAATATGCGTAAGTATATGCACTACAGTAAAGCTAAAACTCTAATGATACACTATCAAACGAATAAAATAGGATGGAGACAACTGGCCATTATGTAAATAATCCTTATACTATACATGTACCTAATATAAATTGATATTATCATGACAGCGATTATCTCCTATCTATTTGTCGTTCAATACCTATTATCTTTTGACCCAAAAAATTAACCTTACATGTATTTATTTCGTTAGATTCATGCGGTCGTGATCTGCATTGGGTGTATTCTTAATTGTTCTAAAAATGAAAGCATATGGTAATGAGGCAAGAAAAACAAATATGATAGAAATTAAATCTGAGGGGAGGATCAACAGGAGTATAATATTTATTCAACTTTCTGTGCATATTTGCATATAATTATAAATACATGTAGGTAATGTACATTTAGCTAATGATATAGACGCTACTTCAGAACAATGCCAAAAAATCTCTAATGCCCCATAGAACAATTAAATAGTTGACATTCTTTGTCGCCGACAGTGGCTGTAAATAACTCGAAAAACCGTAATGTGGGTTTTATAGATGCTCTGTGGAATGTGAATCGAAAATAAATATGATCAAAGTCTTAATTATGTTCAAAGAAATTGTTGTTGAAATAAGTAATTTTTTTACATATTCCTTGTAGGTATGTCGCAACAAGTATAAAGAAGCCGTTTCAAATGTTAATCATTTTAGGGGGTCGGGTCTGAGATTTTAAGTTCATTATGCGTAGGGGAAGTTTCAATACCTTCAGTTTGATTTGAATAAAAAGCCCATCGTTTTGGGTAATGTGTGTTGTCTACCTACAGGGACATAATACCACAATCTGTAAATGTTTGAATGAATAAATCACACCAATGATATTTAAATGCAATAATAATACTAATACCATTGTTTATAATGAAAAACAACAATGCTCACTGTCTAGAAAAGAAAATCCCTTGAATTCCCGCCAGTGGCCGCCTGAAGTAGTTCTTCTAAACCGTAGTTCACGGAATTGGTAGTTCACTTTTACAAAATAATAGTTCCACTTTAACACACTTGTTATTGCTGGTTAAAAAAAGTTGCTAACTATCTGTAAACAATAATTCATCTCCAGAAATCTATATGCAATTACAAGCAACTGATTCGACTAAAAAGTTAACACTTACGAAAGCGAAACCGAAATGCCAGCAGCGAACATTCAATATTCGGTGAAGTATTCCGATTTAAAGTATGAATATCGACACGTGATTTTACCAGCGACGTTAGCCAAGCTAGTACCGAGAACGCACCTCATGACTGAAACCGAATGGAGAAACTTGGGCGTCCAGCAGAGTCCCGGTTGGGTGCATTACATGCTTCACGTACCCGAACCGCACGTGTTACTGTTTCGCAGACAAATACAGGAGGAATAGACTGCAATGAATTTTTGTAATATTTTTTTCTAATACAGACGTGACTTACCTATTAATTTGTAAGAAATTGTGTTTCTTGAATAATTACTATTTTTGAACATGGGGGTTATTTGTAACGTTGGCACCCGTGATTTTGTACCATCTCACTCTGGCAAATGTGTTTACGTATTTCCCTCTTTGTCTATTAAGGGTGAAGTGCAATATTACTGTTCTGTGAAGTGTGAAGTGCATTCGGTCGCCATCAACGGATGACTGGATGGGTTATTGTTTAAATAATTTCCAAATAGTTATAAACAATGTCGAGCACCTCGCAGAAGCATCGCAATTTTGTGGCGGAGCCCATGGACGAAAAGCCAGTAACCGATTTGGCCGGTATTGGTGAAGTGTTAGGCAAGAGGTTAATTTCTTCCGGTTTCGATAAGGTTAGTTTACAAAGTTTGCCTTTACACTGTTAGTAACCAGTTTATTTTTAGGCCTACGTCGTCTTGGGGCAGTTTCTGTTATTAAAAAAGAATCGAGAACTTTTTCAAGAGTGGTTGAAAGATACGTGTCAAGCGAATTCGAAACAAAGCGCCGATTGTTATCAATGTCTTCACGACTGGTGTGAGGAATTTTTATAAACTGTTTATATATACATAGAATTATCGAAGAATTTTTGTAAACTGTATAGTAGATAGATTTTAAAGTAGACTACGATCTATTTTCAATTTCATATTTTCCATAAAAGGATTTATTTATAAATAAAATTACTACGGAGATTGTTGTGCTAATCTATTAAGTGATTTATGCAACTTACAACTTATACAAGTACATAGCGATCAAAAACACTTACCCAAAGCGGCATGGAAATGCCAGCAGCAAATATTCAGTATTCCGGTTTAAAGCACAAATATCGACAAGTGATTTTATGAGCAAAGTTAGCTCAGCTTGAAGATAGTACTGAGAACCATGGTACTTACGGGCCAGGTGGAATTCCATAGGTTACAGGCCATTAATCAGTGTAATGAAGAATGGGGGAGAGGGGGGGGGGGAGCTCTGCGGTGCACCACAAACATTTTTTGCTTCATTTTAAAGTATTCCTTTCTCGAAAATCAATTAGAATATAGTTTTTTTTAACTGCAGCTGATAATGTAACAAAATATACAAACGAGTCGCCTATAATTGTGTTTCAGCACTTTAAAAATACGACAGAAAATGATAAATTCATTGTAAAACACTTAAATAAAAACAGAATTTTGTAATGAACAACCTAACATCAACCCCAATGATAGAAACATGTTAATATAATTTATTAATAGTGCAAGAAACTAAATACAGCACATACTTACTTTAAATTTCCAACGGGCCAATATGACCTACAGGCCAGGTGGCAATCGCCACCCGCCCCCCTGGGCCAGTCCGCCCCTGAGAAAAGGTGTTTTCCCGAGAAATTTTGGTGTAGTCGATTTTTGGTAAAAAAGGAAGGTTAAACACTGCCTTTTTTTTGGGCCTCAAAAAAAATTGTCTCAGATCGACCGGGAAAAAAATTTTTCTTATAGAACGTGGCCTGTAGAATCCATAATTTCAAACAGTTCCAAGATTGGGCTACTGTTACAGCCCTTTGAATTTTTTTTCGAAATTGGTTTCTAGTCTGTAACTTTTGATTGAGAAGTCTGATCGAAAAAGTACGAATTGTTTTGGATTCTACGCACCAAAATTAATAAGAAAAAGAGTTTTCCCGAGAAATTTTGGTGCAGTCGATTCTTAGTAAAAAAGGAAGGTTATACACTGCCTTTTTTTTCGGGCCTCAAAAAAAATTGGCTCAGATCGACCCGGAATCTTTCTCGATCTCTGAGCGCCGGAAGTTCGAGGTCGATACTATGGGGTTGCGCCCCCTTCGTCGCAACGGCACTGGGTTCCGCTGATCCGGCGAAGCTCTCTCCCTTACCTGGCTCAGTGGAAGCTGCACTGAAAGTTATGTGCCGCTGTAGTGCCTGATAGGATGCCTCAACGACATCAAATGCGAGGAGAACCCTCCCTGCGGTAGAACGTCCTCCATACTCGTCCTGAAACCAGGATTTTGCCTATGGAAACGCTTCGAGATGATGGCCGTGTTCTCCGGGGGCCCGTACAACACAGCCATCACCTTGGTTACTCTAGGGACGTGCCTCTGAACTTTCAGAGACGCCCCATCTCAGGGCTTAATAAGAGGGACAGTCCTCTTCAACCAGTCCAAGGTCCTCTGGTCTTCGCATTCGGCCACCATGGCGCTCTGCGGATTCCAGCGGACACCTGCCAGCCGAGGAAAGGGCCCTCCATCCTGTCGACAACTGCATTCAATGCAGCCATAATACACTTCGACTTCGACTTCGAGTGGTCACCCTGAGCCCCGCCGCAGAGGCTTGGGTGCACCAGTGAACCTCTACGCTTCATCTCAAGCTGCCCGAAGCGGGTGTACATGATGTGGGATCGCCGAGCGCCCAAAAGATTCTTAGGATCTTTGGTATTCCCTATAATTTTCCAAAATAATTTCTTGTAGTAGTTGAACCAGGTCCAATGAGATGTCGCCACGTACGTATCTACCTTCACAATAACATTTTAATTTAAGCACTTAATAGCCACGTCCGACTCAATTTTCCTTAAAGGGCAGTTGAAAATGTGCAATTTCATGTAGGATTTGTAGAGCAATTGTACTTCAATGATCCAGTATCTGGAATTGTCTTTTGTGTAAGCAATTGGTACATTTGCGCCATCTCTTTGGTAATACATATACTTTTCCAAATTTATTTCTTGTAATAGTTGAACCAGTTCCAATGAGATGTCGCCACGTACGTATCTACCTTCCCAAGTACATTTAAATTTAAGCACTTAATAGCCACGTCCAACTCCATTTTCTTATAGAACGTGGCCTGTAGAATCCATAATTTCAAACAGTTCCAAGATTGGGCTACTAGTTCAAAAGTTACAGCCCTTTGAATTTTCTCGTTCTTATTATTCCTTAAATGACAGTTCAAAATGTACGGAGTCTTGCAAGATCCTGTAGAGCAATTGTAGTTTAAAGGCTCGGTTTTTGAATAGATAGATTAAATACAATAAGTACTAGCGCGCCATCTCCATGGCAATCGATACACTTTCTATCAAATATAGTTTTAGAAGTCTAGTTGAGATGTCGCCACGTACGCAACTTCTTTTAAAATTTCATTTGAATTTATGCGATTAATAGCAACGTCGCACTTACTATTCCTTAAATGCAGTGCCGTTTTTTAGTTTTTCGGGGCTCTAGGCCATTCGTTCGTGGAGGCCCTCCTTACCCTCAATAAAAACGGCAGATTGGGGAGATTCAAGCAAATCCCTAATTTGAATATGGGCACTCGTCCACTCGATATTTGTGTAGCCTGGTTTGTAGGCAACACATCATGCTCAATGAACAGAAAACATTTATTTTTGCAATTCGTAACTTCTTATGCATAGGAGTTTATTTAAAGCCCTTGGAAGAACAATTTCAATAACAGGTACATTAAGCTGAACCGTTTTACAACAACTTTCACACGAAGATCGCACAAACAACACATTTTTTCGTGATTACAAACTAACTTTTGATTGAGAAGTCTGATCGAAAAAGTGCGAATTGTTTTGGATTCTACGCACCAAAATTAATAAGAAAATCTGAGAACAGACTCATGACTTTAACTGTATGGTGGAACTTGGGCCTCCCGCAGAGTCCCGGTTAGGTGCATTACAAGCACCACGTATTCCAACCATACATGTTAATGTTTTGCAGAGAAATACACCAAGAATAGACTGCAATTAATTTGTGTAATGTTATGTATCTTTTTTTCTAATTTAGACACGAGTTTAAATTTAGGAGGGATTATTGTTGAATCTGGGGTATTTGTAACGTTGGCAATGGCACCATGTTTTGGTGTTATCTCACTTTGGCTAACGTCTTGTGTATTTTTCTCTTTGTCTCATGAAGAAAGAATTTACATTTGGTCGCCATCCACGTATAGTTCAATGTTTAAATAATATAAAATAAACAATTAAACATGTCGAGCACCTCGCAGAAGCATCGCAATTTTGTGGCGGAGCCCATGGGCGAAAAGCCCGTAACTGAATTGGCCGGTATTGGCGAAGTGTTGGGCAAGAGGTTAGTTTCTGCAGGTTTTGATAAGGTTAGTTTTGAAAGTTTCTTATTACAGTGAATAACCACTTTGTTTTTAGGCGTATGTTGTCTTGGGGCAATTTCTCGTACTTAAAAGGAATCAGGAACTTTTTCAGGAGTGGATGAAGGATACGTGCCAAGCGAATTCGAAGCAAAGCGCCGATTGTTATCAATGTCTTTACGACTGGTGTCAGGAATTTTTATAATCTGTTTATAGTTGAATTATCAAATTTTATACGTGAAATAGACTTAATGTGTATTTTCCATTTCATATGTGTGGACAAGAAAGAATTATTTATGAATAAACTAACTTAACGTTCTTAGAGATACTGTGTAACAAAATGTTTCAGGAGAAAGGTCATGCTTTCGTTTATGGCAGGGCTGTTAAACTTCAAAGGGCCACTTAAAAATAAATACAAGGAGGAAGGGCCGCATTAATCTTTGTATGCAATTTTATCAGTCATATTGTTCATATTTGAGGAAAATGTATACGTTTTAACGGCCAAGTAGGTCACTTGTCTTATGTTGGACAGACCTGGTTTAGGGTAATTAAACCTATTATAGTACATGGTTGATTTAAAGAGGAGAGCAAGTGGATGCTATTTGCGCCTACTGGACTGCTGCCATGTAATTCGTTCATCCGTCCAATATCCAATTTTTTTTAAATTTTTGATTCACTATTTTATAATTTAAAAAAATTATAAATACAAATGTTTTAAAGAGCTGAAAGATTTTTTGTTTTTTCACAAGGGGTTTATGACGATTTTTCGAAAAACAAAAGAACGTCAATAACCTGGAGCACCAAATCCAAAATTGGAACTAAAAAAAGTTGTTTATTGTAATGAGTTCTAACTGCTGTTTTCGGGTGTAACGACTTAGTACACCCTGTATAGGTATTGTTACACAAAATTGTCTAGGATTTCCAGTAGAAAGTAAATACACACACATTTCTCAAATTTTAATAATTGTTTTATTGTATTTACACCTAAGAGATAAACAGCTACAACTATAACAAAGATTCTACAGGGTCTTGAGTGACATGCTCAGGTTCAATTATTGTTAGAGTAGGTGCCTCATCCATGTTCGAAACTTCTGGTGAACCCTCTGCGTCGTCATTACTAATCACAGGTTCAATTTTAACAGGCAACAAAGCAGAAAGTGGCTCAATGATGACACTTTTGTCAATAAGAATTATTCCCTCTTTCTGCAAATTTTGAATGCTACAATTAATATGTGACGAAATATAATTGGAAGGATAAATGATATTGACACATTTCTGTATGTACGGTATTAAGTCATCGACAAACGACAGACACAGACGCATAAAAGCATCCTTTGCATTCGCCGTAAACGCCTGCTGCTCCTGACCGTACAATCCCAAAATGCCTTTGGAAATTTTAATTAGCGATTCCTCCAAACACTTAATGACGTCGGGCACGATGGCGACTGGCGCGCATAGACGTAACTCGTTAAACGCCACTAAAACCTGATTTAAATATTCCGCTAACGGGTAAAACTCCAATAGACTCTCTGGGGGCTGCACGGGATCGCTTATCTTCGTTTTCCACGGGACATTCGGGTGATTTTTATTAATTAACGTAAATCTCTCCATATTTTTTTCGAAATCCAAGCTCGATTTTGATATGCGCCTTCGAAAGTTGTGTAAAACTGCCTTGTTAAAGATCGGCACCATTGAGCCGCGAAAATCACAGCCAACTCGACTGAACGACAGACCGAAATACATGCACTGTCCCAAAATCGACTCGATCGACGTAACTTCTTTGTTTAAATCGCATTCGAGTGTTGCGAGAAATTCCCCAATCTATAAAGATGTCAGAAATTCACCTTATCGTAAACTAAACGGCTTACCCGGTCTCGAATCCAACTAAAAAAAATTACGTTCTCATTTATATTCTGCTGCTTATTTGAAAGGACCGAGCCGTGGTCATCGTCGTTAAAAATTGCCTTGTATTGTGTGATTATGTTGAACAAGTTAACGCGAGTCACCTCAATTGTTTTGTTTATGTGATGCATTGCTACAATGAGACAGGAGTACAATCTCGAGGACGTTTTTGAGGGGCGATTCACAAACTAGAACACTACCGTACTTAAACGATCTTTATAATGATTTCTAGTAGTCTTAAGAAGTTCGTTTTTTGTATTGCAGAATAGCACTGATTGTTGATGGTCAAACATCATTCCCACCGTAAAGCAGGGCTTTATAAGGTGACGCTCATGCATTAGATTTCGTTCTACTGCAAGCTGTCCTAAGTGAAGCATCACGGTAACCACACCGAGCTGATCCATAGTGAAGCAAGATGACAAAGCCGAGCTGTGCTATAGTGAGGCATCAAATATGAATACGAACGTTCCATTATCAATGGGGTATTTGTTCTAAATCGTATTTGGCGCCTCGTTGTCTGGCTACGGTTTTGAATTACGCGCTGGAAATTAGTCGTGTTCTGTTACTTCTGCAATTCATTTTTTTCCACTTAACCAACTATCTCTGCTAATAAGTGAGATCTTTGAATTGGATGCAACCTGTATATTTATATGGTCTTTTAGTGTTGCTATTTTGCTGGAACGTGGAAAAAAGTAAATATATAATAAAGGGAAGCTACTGGGTCTAAACAAAATTTTTTCGTGCCGAGTTTTGAAGAAACTCATTTCTGTTTAGCATTTCTACATATCGCCAGACTAATGCTGATCGTTAAAAGGATAGCCAACAGTTTCCTAAGGTCTATTAGGAACTAGTCATTACCATTGATAATTAAGAGTCTACATGAGGATTTAATGAGTCTAAAAGGAGTTTGAGGGGTCTTTAATTGGCTTTTAGCGTTCAAGAAAGCAAGAAAACTCCTCCTATCAAGAAAGTGACAAACCACATTGGATAACAGGATATAGTGTGTCAAATCGAAACAAACTTGCTCTCCCCAAATCAGAACAGTTTTACCATGAATTTAGAAATCACTAGGACTAGGACTACACATTTTTATTTGCAGATCGCCCCTCCGATAAATCTTACCATTAGTATCGACAATTTTACTAAGGCATTGCTTTAACCACGCCTCTCTGGCCTGTAGAAACTTCAAACGGAGCTCTGCTTCAGTAAAGACTTCCATTCGACGCAAATAACTGACGATTTGAAGACAACGCGACAATTGCAAGTCTTCCTTTAACTGCTTTAGCAAGTGATGCAACATTATTAACCACGACTTATTGATCTCCCCTAAAATGTTCTGAAACGTCCCGATTATTTCTATATTATCTATACTGCACGTACCTTAAAAATCAGGATATCGGGATGTTTGGCGTATAACCTTCGGACATAGGCGGCCAACTCGAGCGCATCCTCGTAGAGGCCGTCTTTTATGAACGAGTCCATCAGCTGCGGAATCTCGAGCACCTCTAACAGTTGAGCCGTACGTGTTAAAGTAAGCGAGTTCAGTCGGCGTAACAAGTTAATTCCGCTGGTGTTTGTCGCGAACGTGTGGCACGTCTGTTCAAACTGCGGTATGTTTTCTAATAAATGATCGAGCTTATTTTCTATGCTGTTAAAACCTTGGAACAGGTTTCGCGAGCAGTCGGCCGTTTGGATGAACGTTTTATAATTTACGATCGCGAGCTCTTGCATTTGATCCGTTACGCTGTGCTTTTCATCTTTCAACTTTGAGGGCTCTTTGATGAGCTCCTCACACTTGAGGCTGCCCATTTTGTTTAGGTAGGCATCGAAGTCTACATTACTATCGTAAAGAGCTGAAAAAGAATAGGATATTCGCAGTTTGTAATTTATTAATTAAACGTACCGCTCTCTTCTTCCGTAAATAATAAATTCAATAAATTAATTTTTTCTTGGCTCATTTTTTAAATAATTTAAATTATTAATGGGCCAGAGCCACGTCTTCTTGCTTATAAACAAAGTAAAGTGGTGACTCTGGACCCGCTTGGGAGTTCAGTTGCATGGTTGCCAAATTCTCATAAAGTCGTAGGCGTAGGAACCTGTAATGTATTAAACCCCCTTCTGAAATTTTTCTGCAGAGAAACATAGTGCACCTGCACATTGACCAGCAAAGGTAATTTTACCAACTTGGGTCTTGTCCTGATTGTGCAGCTTGAATGCTTCAGTGATCGATCAAGGGGGCGTTTAACGCCAGACTCGGCCCCAAGTGGGAATCGAACTTTGCCCTTTTGGTATAATGTTTAGTTCACTAGAATTATGTATGGTTTCTTTTGTACGTTATCCAATAACTGACTATTATTATTATACGGTCACCTACCCATAATAGTGGACCCTGGTAGTTGAGTTACCTGATGTCGTGACAACGCATTAATTTGGTTTAAATCTCAATCAGCATATAGTAGGATAATAAAAACAAAAGAAAATAAAGTTTACAATTTATTGTTTTCTATCATACATTCCTTTATATCACTGCGCTAATAACATAATAGCATAAATGACAACCTACAGCGCTTGAAAATAGATACGTATATAGCAAAAGTTAGTTTAATGGGACAGTAGTTATAATACATGGTGCTTGCATGTTTAATTGTGACTTTTTACAACCGTTTTCAAAATTATTCGTAAAAACTGTAAAAGTATCAGACGAGAGCACCAATACTTTTCAGCTTGAAGCCAAAAGTGTTTATATAACAAGACATACAACTTTATTCATATATACACACTCATACGTACACACACTATGACTAAATCTAAGTTCTTTTAGCTATCCTCAAAATAACTACACTAGCCAAGTACACTGGTAGTCACATAATGTTAAAAAAAACTTTCAATAGATACGTTATCTGAGATAAATATAAAATAATATCGATAATAATATAAATTAAAAAGAAAACACGTACAAAGCGACTATACAAGGTGCAACCTCCTTTGATTCATAGCCACGCTATGTTAAAATAAATATTTACAATTCAATGCCACGTTCGGTTGCTTGTCAACCCGCCCACCTATCGAATACAGAAGAAAATTAAATAAACGCACGATCTCGGTGGCGTAGCGCTGCTACTTCACCTACGTCTACATAAGAAAACACTCAATAAATAATTAATATTTGTGAAATATAAATATCAATGACTTAATCGCTACTACAACCTAAATCTAACGGTCCGTTAACCTGCTGTTTCATGTTTATATCTAATATATTTAATATATGTACACCAATTTAATAACTACTCTTCTACTTTTACTATCAGCTCAAATAATAAATGCAGGGAAATGTACATACGTTTTGTATGCTTAATGTCATGAAGTAATCTTTAAAAGCGAGCACATCAATTTATTGCCGTATGTAATTTCCTCGTTCTATGTACAGAAACAGGGCGGTTCAAGGTGCACATTTAAAAACCTCGGACCGCCCTACACAAACAAGGCAGTGACGATACGATCGATCTAGCGATAGTAAGAACCGATATTTACCAATATCAACAACGAAAAGAAAAAAAAGTGACAACTCGAATTATTTATTTACAAAGACGCATCTAGAGAACATCAATAAATATGTACACTTAACCTACAAATATTACCGAGACTCAACAGAGTGTAGAGAGTCCTAAGATTTAGACACGCACCTACCCGATTCGACTTCCGACACCCTCTCCTACTGTTCACACGAAAACCTTAGCCAAACCATCCGCGCCTGCACTCGCAATATACGGCCGTGATGGATGGAAGGCGACATCTAAGATGCTTTCGTCGAATTTCTTCCGGTGCGCGGTTATTTCTTGTACGCACGTCTTGTTATCCAGATTCCATAGTCGAATCGAGCAGTCGTGTGAACCTGCAATTAAGTTGTGATTGTGAGTCTCGAGTGTGAAAATAAAAAATTGTTTCAAATAAAATATTGAAGTACATAATAATTGTACTGTAACTAGGTTGCATGATACAATAACCTTCATTGCGCAGGTTAGACGCCATATTAAATTTCTTTGTGACGTCACGCGGTTAGTAAACAATCTCAGCTGGAGCAGTGTTTTGTTTATTTTAATATGTTTCGCCGGCTTTCTTCAATATTTTGTGAGATAAAGTTATTGAATTATAGTTATTTGTTGTATCATGCCTATAGAACCAGTATAGGTAAATAATGAGTGTATTTTTTAATACAGACTAATAACACACCTGTTCCCTGTCTAATTTATTTAGTTGCACGCATGTTAAAATTAAAGAAAATTCAATATCAACAAATCCCTAGCTTAATGTAATAGGTATAAATGTATTGTGTCTTAACGAATAGTTTTTAAAATGGTATTTGTTATTGGTTACATCCTTGGAAGGATTGTGCTTTAAAATGATGCCTTGTAAAAATGCATTTACTGTAGGTTTCGTAATCACATCGGGCACATTTAAAATCCTGGGAAGGGCTGTGTGATAACAAATGGTTTTTTAAGTTGCGTAATCACACTGGACACATTTAAAATTTAAAGTAAAGTGACGTCATGCACATAACCGAAAGGAATTGAGACCGCATAGTATCATATCATTCTTATTTGTTGTATCATGTTCCAACTGCATTACAACCTACCTTTTTTAATAGAAAAAGAAAGAAAAAAAGGGTGTCTAATACACATCCTTATCTTAGACATAGTGTATACCTAATTAAATTGTGGATTTTTTTAACTTCTGTTCCAAAAGAGTTAAAGATAGGTATAGTATCGGATACACTATACGAATTATGGGTAAAATTTGACATAGAATACAAAAAATACTGTTCCATCTTTGGTAGGTATCAAAATCTAACTTTTGACGCACCCTGTATATTTTCTCTTTAATGCAAAAAAAATTATGATATTATTTTAAACCCAACACCTGATTTTTAAATAAATAACCAAACCGTAACAGCCGTAAGGAGTGAGGAAGAAAAAAATACTGACCTGAGAGTAAATAGAGCCCGTTAGGATCGACCGCCAAACTTGTAACGGCATCTAAGTGCGCAACCATCGAGTGCACCATTTTTCCCGTATTATTATCCCAATAACGTATATGCCGATCTTCGTGAGCCGTGATCGTGAGCGATAGAGTCGGATGACAAACCACCCTATTAATTTGCTTATTATTAACACCGGAATCTAATCGTACTAGGGGTTTTGCAGTCTCCGTGTCGAAGATAATGCAATTCGAACTGTTGTACGCGGCGACAATTCGATTACCCTCGTCTCTCACAAAATCGACACTGGAAGGTATACCGTCCTGATCTGATGTAAACGTATTCAATAACGGCATCTGTAATAATAATAATAATCATTTATTGTCAAACAGAATATTTCCCAATAACAGGACAATGTACAGGGTGTCTCATTAATAATGGTTACGCGCCACATCTTGTACAGCTTCGGAAAAAAAATTTGTTAACAAAAGGGGCAAGGGATATCGCTGGAAATTATTTTAAAGTTTCTAACTTCGCCGCTAGAGGGCGTACGACTCATGGGTAAGTAGAAAAACGGCTTTTATTAAATTAAATTAAAGTTTGAATAATTTTTTCGTTGCTCATAATTTAAAAACTTAGATCGAGTGTTAATTTTGACCTGCCATCGCCTCATTCACTTTGAGATAATTATCGGTTGCTATGTGTTCATTTGTTTCAAATCCAACTTGAATGAGCATCAATATTGGAATTAAAAATTGTGAATTTTCGTCATATCTCTGCTTACAAAACAGATATCAAAATGCGGTTTTCATAGAAAATCTCTCTTTTTCATCGTATTTGATAATATCATATAATGATTATATCGTTCCATTTGAAATTTTCAAAAAAAAACTGCAAAGTTTATGTTAATGTCACACCGCGCCCTCTACCACTCATCACACTCACTAAAAAGACTCTATTCATGTAAAATGTGATTCCACGAAGAGAGCTCTTTCCAACAAACCATATTATGTGAAAAGCTGTTAACCTAAACCGAAGTTACATTCATTCCCTTAAAGAGATGTTCCCCTTCCCGCACCCCTCATATTTTATGAACTAGAGCAATATGTGCTGCATCAAAATGATGCAAAAGTGATACAAGATTGCTATGCATGTATTTTTTATGCACATTTGTTGAGTACGTATATTTTAGAAAAAAAAAGTCATTTTTCTACTTAACCAGGAATCGTACGCCCTCTAGCGGTGAAACTATAAACTTGAACATAATTTCCAACGATTTCTCTTGACCCCTTTTGTTAACAAAATATTTTTCCCGAAGCTGTGCAATTAACGGTTCCATAGATATAGCCTGTGACCATTATTAATGGGACATCCTGTACTTGTGTACTAAATAAATGCAGTGTACATATATGAAAATAAAAGTGTACTGTAAATATTCAAAAAGAGAACTTAGAATTAAACTCAATAGAGATTCACAAAGAATAAGTTAAATGGATATAATTAGTAATTATCAAATTATAAAAAAAAAGAAAAAGAACAAAAAACAATCAGAACAAGTGAACTTGATGATGCAAGCGAACTGCGATTATTACCTTGGAATGTGGCGCCCACAGCTTTACCGTGCCGTCAGCCGCACATGACAGTAACTTTTGCTGACTGTGAAGTTCGGCCAGCCCCCAAACGGAATCCGTGTGTCCTTGAAGAGTCGCGTTGAGAACATCAGGCTCGAACAAATCGTACGGGTCGATATTCGAATTGGGCACAGTCCAACAATGAATTTTACCATCCAAACCGCCCGAATAGCAATGCTCTCCGCTGCCAGATATAGCCAAACAGAGCACCGGGCCGTTGTGACTCCTAAAACTCGAGACTAGACCCACACACAAAGTACGTCGAGTAACAAACCTAAACGTATACAAAGGTTCCACATCCAGCGACGCCGACTTCTTAGCCGGAACCGTCTTCTGCAAATTCCAAAGTTTGAGTGTGTGATCTTCACTGGCCGTAATTAACACCGGTTCGGTCGGATGAAAGCATAACGCTCTGACACCGTCGAAGTGGCTCCGTAACGTGTACTTGGCGCCCCACGTTTTCCGAAACGCCTCCTTACTGCTCGAAATATCGTAACTGGTCTCTGCGTCATTGTTTACGGTTAATTGAGCTAATTCGCCTAGACCTAGACCGGTGTCGATATTTTCGTCGTCGTTTAACGCTAGGGGCCTGCGTCCCGGCCCGCCGGATTGAAAGTTCAAGCCTGAAAGTTAAGCTTAGTTTTAGTTTCGGAAAGTTTTATTTGAAAACTTCGAGGCTCCTATGGGGAAGGGGGGGGGGGGCGGGGCGCCATAATGATTCGAGAAATGAAAATATTTTTTTACCACTAAATATACAGAGTTTGTTTGGCCGTTTGTAAAAGATAGAACATTTTTGAATTAAATTTTTAGCTTCTCTGGATCAACCCTGTTTGGTTGGAAACTAGTGATCAGGGACATTTTAATTTCAAGAAATCAAGGGTGCCTTTGAAATTAAAAAAAAAAAAGTTTGTTCATGTCAATAGCACTGTAACACAGAAAATAGAATGTAACGTTGTCTCTAACCGTTTCAAATTCTATTTTTAACAGTTTTTTTAAGTAACATTTTCTCAGATTTCCTCAAAAAATCCCGTTAAAAAATAAAACCCTAAAAAAAATCAAAGTAGGCCTAGAACAACTTTTCGCAATAACATTTGTGCGGATGTCATCCCCAAACAGCACTCCACCATAGGAATTTACTCATTTTGACCATCCCGTGTTACGTTCCAAAAAAGGAAGCGACCTCAGGAGACTTAAAATTCAGGATAGACAAGGTAGAATTTCAAAGACAAGTTTGTGATTTGTACTACTGTCTAGAACTTTGTTTAACATGTAAATGATGACGTTTGAACAAATGCACAATATAGTTCATTAAAATAACAATCTAAATTTGTATAGATTAGGACAAATAAATATATTTTTTCAGGGCGCGATGCGCTGTTGCCAGACGTCGGTAAGCATTTTGCGAATCCCTCCGCCACCTAACGCCGAATAGCTGAACTACAAATTATATTTGTATTGCTTCTTGCCAAATTATATATTTCGAATAAAATATTTATTTTAGTGACAAAACAATATTTTAAATTTTCGTGAGAACCTGCAATTAAGTTGTGATTGTGAGTCTCGAGTGTGAAAATAAAAAATTGTTTCAAATAAAATATTGAAGTACATAATTTCAATAATTACAGCCCAAATTAATTATTGAGGCAATAAGTTGCTAATCTAGTTGGTAATTTAATTCATTAAATGCAGTTTTTTAAATTATAATTTAAAAATCTTCGAGATTGGAATTCAAAAGATTATATACATTCAGAGGGCGCTAATTTCAATGATTACTTTAAAATTTAATTCTGAGTGTAACTTATTTTTTGCTCGCTTCTCAGAAACGGTAGTCCAAAAATTTCTTTTTATTACACCACTGGTTCATATCCTAGTCTAAGGAAGTTGAAATATAGAGGATGTTGCATTTAAAAAAATACCTACTTTGGATCAAATCTCAGAAACGGGGGTTCAAACATTTTCTTTGACTACAGTACTGGCAGTCTAAGGAATTTTCTTACTGGCTGCTGAAAGTCATGAAAAAGTATCCAGAGCTGTCGTGAAGTTAGCAATAAAAAAATGTTAAAAATTTCAGTTTTTCAAATCGCAACTACTGTTTAATTTTAACGGTACTTTTATTAACATATACAGGGTGTTTCTAAATATGATATAAATACGGACTTCTGGCTTATTTTATGGTTTATTATAAGTTCATATAAACATAAGTCCGCAAACGCTTTGATACCAATCTACAGGGTGTTTCAACCTTTCATTTATAAACATATGCAAACACAAGATCCATATCAAATGCCACCTGTCAAAACTAATAAAAAACAAGAGATTATTCAATATAAATCCAAAGCCTGCTGGACCATTTTAAAAATTTTACTATCATTTAACCAATAGATGTTTTGTTTTTTTTTAAATTCATGACAGACTACTTGATTAAAACATAAAAACCGTTGATATAACTGGTATCTTATTTTCAATCTTACGCTATGATAGCTCGTTGAAAAGAGAATTAAAAAATCTATCAAGTAATCTAAAAATCCAATGTGGCGCCTATTTAACTTTAGGATAACTTTTATATAAAACTTTTTTTTATACCTCTTATGCTTTTGATGATATGTATAAGACATTCAAGGAAATGGCCAATTTTGCATTGCCCATTTAACCAATTCTCTATCTTTAATAATAAGAAAGTGACCCATGCAATCCCACGCGATCTGGGACACACGGTATGTTCCGGTCCCCATCCATTTGATTGAAATATGTCTTAAAGAAGCTAACGCTATGCTCTTTTACTATTTAAAAAAAATCTGCGCGTTTTTTAGAAATCGATGCCCAAACTCTCATATGATAATGGTGTGCATTTTGACATTGTCATACTTTTAAATGCATGTGGTATACTGATTAAAAAGTAGAACGCAGTAGTAGCAGCTATTTTAGTAAAGTAGTCCAGTGGTTCACAACCTTTTTAGGTTGAGTATTTCGACTCCCCTATGAATTATAATTTTTTTTAAATATATACCTAATAAAAACAACAAAGTTGGTATCCACAGTTTGTGAATCACTGGTTGAAAAAACATTTTTTCCTGCTCGATTAAATAATCTTGTAAAATAGAAATTGTTTGCTAATTTAAGTGGCCTGGTGGTTCTTATAGTTCATGAGATAGCAACAGTGGACAAAATAAAATGAACACACTGTATAATTGAGACACTCTTAGAATTACCAGTAGTAGTGTTAAATAATGCTCAATTCAATTTGTTTGTTTAATTAATTTAATAAAAAACACAAAAACTTATCCTGTAATGAAGAATGGGAAGTAAACAAAAAAATCAAAATTCGTAAATTAATACAAAATCAGAGGGAAAGCGAGCAGGCGTCAACTGCCAGTTAATGTTAAACAAAATTTTAATGAGAATGCAATATTGTGTTTGTGTAAGGAGTTCTAGCACACTTGATTATATCAACTCTGCTGAAAATTTCCATTAGACTCTCCCAAGTATTAATTGAAACGGAGACAATGATTTCCTCTCCCAGTTTACCATGATCGCAGCACACAGATACCTATTTACTTGCCCTAACATTTAGTTACCTTTCCAATCGCCAGCATCCTTCATATCTTGATGCTGATTCTCGGTTTCGGACAATAAATTAAGCTCATTAAGAACCTCCATCGCCTCGGCATCCACATCATCGCCCATATTATCGATTTTACCTAAAAACACAACATCACCACCACCCTTGCTCGCATTACCGCGACACCGACCTCGCCTCTTGATAGCTTTCACGTCGTCTTCCAGCTCGTCGGTCGCTTCCAATTCGACATCATCGCTCATATCGTCGTCGTCCTCCATGTCCACGTCGGCCGACGATAAAAAATCCAAATTTGCCATGACGGCGGCCTCGGTGTCGAACATCATCGCCTCGGTAAGACAACTCGGCTGAGTTTTTTTAGCGGGTGTCCTTCGACCTAAAAGCGCGAGCAATGAAACCGAATTGATGTCGCGACGAAAAGCCATTACCTTGAGTTTCGCTGGCGCGTTTATTCGATTCGTTTCCGTTAACCTGCCCACTAGTTACGTTCTCGTCCTGTTCCGCATTGTTATTGAGGCCCAACAGTGTTCGGACACGATTCGATCTTACATCAATAATTCGATCGGTATAACCGATCTCCTGCAAATACTGTCGCAGCAATTGCCGGCCCTGTTTCCACGTAGCTTTGGTGACGGACGTATACGACTGGTCGCTATCAAGTTGCGTGTCGATGTTGGAATCGTCTAATTGCGGTGGTTTCATGTCGCCCTGCTGTAGCTCGACACCGTACTTTAACTTGTGAAATTTGGCTCTTTCTTGTTTTAAAGCGTATTCTAACATTTTAATTCTACGAACTAGATCACTTTTGAGGTTTTCTTGCCCTTTCCTTTCCCCTTGCAAAAACGCGATACGCGCCTATAAGTTGTCAATGATTAAGAAAAAAGGAAAATGTAAGTAAAAGACAAAGTTTTACTTGTAATTCTGCTCTATCCACTTCCCATTGTGAACGTTCCAGTTCAAATCTTGCCCATTCATGTTGAATAAAATGCAAAATGCCAGGTATTGAGTATTGTGCTTTAGTGTTATTTTCTTCATTGGGTTTAACATTAGGCGCGGGACCGCCCTGAAGGCCTAACTGCGCCCCATTTTGTACGACCGAAGTGTCTTCCATTACTAATCTTAGCAAAGTGTCGTCGCCCGTAGTCTTCATATGGCCACCATTGTTAGTTTAAAAAACTTTCGCCATTTTAAAACACTTCCACCGAACACTCGATTATCACTTTGTAAACAATCGCCGATTAAATAAATACATTACGTAATTAAAGCTAGGGATCAAAATTTATGCAATGAGAAATTATGTGAACGCATAACAATTAACATACAAAAGCTGGAAACAAAAATTCTCACTTCAGAGGCAGCCATTCAACATCTGGCAGTTGCCCATCTCACTCACTAACCTTTATTTACCGTTTCTTTCGTCTTTGTTTGCAAGCAAATCTATTCGTAAATTTCTCAGACAACTGGCGCCTCTGACGGCCGAAAGTGTAACTACTTGTGACAGCGTCAAATTCAAATCCTTTTAAATGGGAAGGGATTTACCATGAGTCTTTTTTAATAAAATTTTTTGGAATTCTTCCATAGCTTGGCATCACTACGCCAATGAAAAAAATAGAAAGATGACTCGTGCAATTCCACGCAATTATATTTGTTTACTATAACTGCCGTTGGCTTGACAAAAGAACATCAGGGACAGACAATTACATACAGAGTGTCCTACGAAGGACCGAGTCTATAAAAAAATAGTCAATTCGCTTCCGGTTGTACCTCAACATTATGCATTATTAAGATGCAATATGTACTAATCATAAAAATTTCACTTGTTGAGTTGTCGAGTTCTCAAAGCACACATATTTTTTAACGTTGCTTTAGAAGTATATATGCTCTGGGGTGGTACCAGAGATAAATCGAATCAATTTCTATGACTCACAGTGTAACATTGTTCCATAAAGCGAAACATTCCTTCGTTTGCTGTAAAACCCAAGACCTTTTTCTCAATAGGCCCGGGTCCATGTTTAAACATTTAGTGCATATATCCATATTTAGGATAATGTTCAAATGATTCACGTTTAGGCTCAAATCTCTTCCCCTGCGCGCATAGATTCAGCGTTCTCCCGCAAAAAGAGGTAGCTGTGCTATAGTTTATATGGCTACTTACCGTGTCTTATGTAGTTCTAGCTTCTGCTTTGTAGTTTCTTAATTTAGTTTCTCTGAGTTTTGTAGAGTTTATTGCATCTTCTGCAATTTTTGGATATACCTATGTTGCTTCGGCAAATTACGTACCTTGTGTATATATTTTCTGCCCTGTATAAAATGTTGACTCTATGGTAAATGTAATAAATTGAGGTTATGAAGTTATGTTTTTATTTGAGTTAAATTTCGAAGAATTATATGGGTTTTATTGAAAATGAGCTCGAAGAAATTAAAAAATTGGCCGAACGAAAAATTCCATCTTGTAAATTGGTCTGTTGTGTTAAAACGATGGTTCGAGCTGAAATAAAATTCACAGAGTACAAGAAGATCGTCGCTTGCATGCAATTTCCCAAGAACTATCCGGAATCTACACTACTTATCGAACTCAAAAGTAAGACGTTGTCCGAGAAGCTAATACAGGGGTTAACTAATGTATGCGAAACCGAAGCAAAAAAGCATCTCGGCAGACCACAAATAATGCTGACTTTAGCGTTTCTTCAAAACTTTCTAATTGAGAATCCGCTGTCTTGTTGTCATAGTGAGATTGGTAATATAAAAAGACTATTAGTGGACGGTGTGGACGAGTTAAAACTAAAACAGAAATCTTCCAGTATTTTTTTAAGTATTGTGCATGCGAATTACTTTTGGAATGTTAAGTTCTTTGTACCGGATAATTATCCAGTACTAGCCATTGAGTAAGATATGTTGGGTGTCGTTTTAGCGCTACAGGTAGGCTTGCAGGTTAAAAAATGCCGAAACCAATTTGCCACCGACGCTGCGACATCATATATTTGAGCAAGGACGGGAGATGGCACGACAGTGTGTGGAGCCCCCATTGAAAAAACCGAAACCAAACGACCCGCCTTTCAAACCTCAACCTTCCCTCGAGAAAACCGCATGTTTTTTCATAAACTACGTGAAACAGTTACCCAGCCAAGTTTGTCAGTTTTGTAAGGAGCAATGCTTACCGTCCGATCCACAAGTAATTTACATAGTAAGTGCTACTTTAGATTTACCATGTTTGTAGCTAATCGAGAAAAATGAAGAGTCGCCCCGGCATCTGGAGCGTATCTTCTGCGGCCACCTGTTTCATCAAGAATGCCTGTTTAATTATTTAAAGACGCCTCCCTTCGGTAATAAAAGGTGCGGTATTTGCGGGGAGAAAATATCTCATCATAAGTGGAGCTTGTCAGATAAATTGGCGGAAAATCGATGGGCCCATGAACAGGCCAGGGAAAGGGAGCTGGCCGAAGTTGAAGACTTTTTCAATTGAGCAGATGTTTTTATTGACCTAGTTTTTTATTATTAAGTACTTAATGTATAATATTTATTTAGAGTACACTATTATATTGAATTATGAACTGAGCTTGATGATGCGAAATTCATAAAATTTCAATCAAATACCTATATACAGTAGTATACAGTAGCGGCAAATTTGATTTTTTCATGTAACACTAACATTTAGTACGGTTGGCAATAAAACATTACCTTGTTATTTAGAGTGCTATGAAAAACAATTGGAGTCAGTCAGCCACTATTTGTTGTAGGGATGTTTCTTTTTTTTAAATTATTTATTAACATCTGATAATTCTATAGTAATACATGAAAAGTTATTGCAGACAAACTATATGGTGATAAACTTTTGGGCGCTACTGTAGGTATCATGTTGGAAGGCGCTATAATGGCCAATTTCTCAGTTCATTCGAGTCCTAAAGTTTTAAATATCTGGTTCTGGATTTTCTCCTGGGTTGAACGGTCAGAGGCTGCCTCGGATTCTGTTTCGACGGTAGCGAATTTTCCTTTTATCTCGATGACATTGGTAAGGTAGACCACCGTCGGATGTGGGGCTATCATCTCTCTTGATAGGGCTTAAGGGTTTGGCATGGCATCATAAGCATCTATTGCTTTTTGACGGAGCTTAATTGCTTGCTCATCGCATATATTGGACTGCTTCCATGTCTCCATGAATTGGTGCCAATGCAGTGTAAGGGTTTCCCATATAGGGGCTCCAAATAGATTTGGGCTGGGCATGGGGAGTGTTCCCAAGTTCTAGTAAACTCATTATTTGCCAAATCTGAGTTTAAACAAGAATTTTGACATTTGATTGGCTGCCTACTGCAATATAAAGCCAATCAAATGTCTTAATACCGGATTGAACAATAATCCTGGATTTTTTTTGTGCAACTGGCCGTGATAGATTTATTTTCTGTGAAGCCAAAGCAACGACATTCAGAAGAAGTTATTCTGGTTGCATAAAATTAGGCGTTCTTCAGACTTTCTATCAATGCCTAGATAAAATACCCAATTATCTGTATAATAGTTGAACCAATTCCAATGAGATGTCGCCACGTACGTATCTACCTTCCCAAGAACATTTTAATTTAAGCACTTAATAGCCACGTTCGACTCAATTTTCCTTAAAGGGCAGTTGAAAATGTGCAATTTCATTAAGGATTTGTAGAGCAATTGTACTTCAATGATCCAGTATCTGGAATTGTCTTTTGTGTAAGCAATTGGTACATTTGCGCCATCTCTTTGGTAATCCCTATACTTTTCCTTATAATTTTCTTGTAATAGTTGAACCACTCCCAATGAGATGTCGCCACGTACGTATCTACCTTCCCAAGAACATTTTAAAAAAGGAAGGTTATACACTGCCTTTTTTTTCGGGAATCAAAAAAAATTGTCCCAGATCGACCCGGAAAAAAATTTTTCTTATAGAACGTGGCCTGTAGAATCCATAATTTCAAGCAGTTCCACTACTATACAGGTATTTTATCTGTGCCTATGTCTACTGGTACAAAAAATGAGTTGCTGTCGAGTCACCTTTGGAATTTTTGTCTACATGGGAAATCGTACTTAATTTGAACTTCCAAAGGCGACTCGACAACAACTCATTTTTGATCGCCCGTTATTACATGAATATTGCTGTATACAATACAGCATACCTACCTACCTTTTGTACTAATCTGAGTAATTAGCAATGAGTATATCCTGAACAGAGAACTGATTTTGATTATTTTTTTAACATTAGTACTTGGACCACTGTTGTGTTTGCTAGAATACAGTATTTTTTTTAAACGTAGGTACTTGTGGGTAAAATTAAAAATTGTACTTGCAAAGGTTACAGAATCTTAAAGTTGCACAAAAGAAATGCTGTTTTTTATTATTCTTTGACTGGACAAGGAGGTCCTTTTTTCTTTCTCCTTCAAACACTACATCAATTTCTTAAACTTTATTAACAAAGTATAAAATTTCGACACAATAAATATCTCAGCCTTATAATTTTTCTTTTACGTATTTAATACATCGTTTCAATATTATTAGGCTCACCTATGGTTTAATATGAAAAATACGATTGTAGACAGAGATCAAGTGTTCTGTGATCGACATTCTCTGCAGGCGAGCCTTATATCTTAACATTATTGCGACAAGAGAGGATATGTACATAAATCTCTAAAGGTGAACGGCGATCGCATCCACTACAAGCTTGAGAAGCTTCACCTTAATCTCGGATTCGGTGGTACCGTGCTGCAGGAACGTGAACGAAGGATGCTTGTTAGATTTGGTCTCTACGCACAGAATTAGTGGATCCCTTTGAAACTTAGATATCGTATATTCCACCCCTAAGTTGGCTAGCAAATTTTCTAAAGACGGCCCGTCGCGGGCTTCCTAAACTGTTACTATTAAAATGCTTAAAACTCGCCACCTATACCTCTATTAATAAATCAATTTCATCCGCCGTTAGATTCTTAGGGGTGGCAAATTTGGTGTCACCGTTCAGACTTGTTTCCGTTTTAAACGATAATTTCTTAAATAACTCGATGATCATCTGATCTTGCCCTGGTGTTTCTTCGGAGACTGATGCTGTCGGAGAAGACAATCGAGCGGTCCTGGTTAGTGCTTCTATTGTACTGCTGCCACTGAAAACAAACAGGAAAATTAATCGGTCATAGATGACTCATGTGAGATAAAGAGAAGTGAGTCCAACTAAATATGCAACTGACCTTGTTACGATTTCCAGCATGCGTTTTGCTGCAACTTGTTTCGCTTCCTTTTTTGTTTTTCCTTTTCCATCTGCCTCTTCAGTGAGAAGTTTGCACCTCGCCGTAAACAGTCCGAGATGCTCTTCAAACTCATAGATCGGATAACTTAATCCTTTCCTCGAGCAAAATTCGTTTAGCTCCCCGACTTTATTTTCGATAATATCCGATCGAGTATCCGATTCATCAGGTGGCCGTATTGTGGAGTTTATTATGGAGTTAAACATCATACCTTCACTTTGGAGAAACGATACGGCCTTCTCCGCCGCCGTGTGCTTTGCTGCCTTTTTGCTTGTCGCTTTCGCATTTCTGGCGATATTTCCTATATTAACAATACATTTAAAAACACCGTCTTCGCTCACGATGTCGTAATTCGGTAGAGCAATGCCTTTGGCCATTGCATATTCTTGCAAAACAGATATGGGACTTTTTTGCATTTAGCAATTGAGCGCGTTCGGTGCCGAGGAAGTGCACTTCTGTAACGACAGACAAACGATACGTAACTAAATCGGTGCGTTTATCGAAATTTAGCCTAATTCACTCATTCAAAAAGATGGGAAGGGATTATTTATTTAAAGAAAACCAGCTATGTTTACGAGTGATCAGGTGAATGTTCAGAGTACTTACGTGAATGATTCGCTTCACCTTTGCAGATTTCAAGTTCAACATCCTTTCCTCTGCATAAATAAAATACCCACTTTGAATGATGCAATCCGCATTCGACGAAAGCCACGTCAGCGTTGCACTTGTATCTATCAACAATACGTCTGTGGTATTAATTAAATCGGGAGCAAGACGGTTTATTCATTGCGCAAGGTAACTAAACTAATTGCCCTATTTTGTTTAAGTTATTCATTGAAACCAGTTATAAACAAATGTCAAATAGATTTGTTGCAATTTATTCGGTTTGTAAAATATTTGCTCTTATCAATCTTTACCTGTTCTAATCTTAGAAATCCTTATATATTAAAAAAATTGGTGTTTTGTGTATATTTTGAGGTTAGATTAGCGGTTTCATGTTTACAAAATACTATGCGATCAAAAATGAGTTGCTGTCGAGTCACCTTTGGTAGTTCAAGTTAAATACGATTTCCCATGTAAACAAAAATTCCAAAGGTCACTCGACGGCAACTCATTTTTGATCTCCCGTTATATCCACTACCACAACCCACCAACTAATAAACAAAGGTCTAACGTAGTCACAGCTTACTTACTAGAAACATTGTTTATTCATTGATTCAAATGAATCAACAATCAGCTATTAAAGTGTGGTAGAATGTACTCGTACTCGTAGGGTAGAATCTCTGGCACAAGACTGCAGCCATCAGGCACTAACCCCGGCTCACATGTGCGGGTTCAGGCCTCAGGGTTGTGCCGTTGTGCGCCAATGCGGTTTATTACGTACCATCAAAGACATTTAAAGTGAGGCATTCTTCTCGAGTTGTCTGCGTGATATAATAATGTAACGTTATTTATAAATTCGGGTTCGATTTATATCAATATTTATTAAACAAAACTAAAACACTATAAAATCCGTACAATTTATATCGGTTATTTATATCACACACTTCGACATTTATATCAGCTTTTCGCGCTCGATGTTTCATACGTACTCGTTCCGTAGTAGACTGCCGCGATGTTCGGTCCGCAACCATTTATACACGCAAGCAATGTAAGTCCAGTACATTCTCGAATACGCGTAGAACATTCCAGAGAATTCTGGAGCATTTCCGTTACACTGCCCCCTTCTTAATTCTGGACGTCTCGTTCAGAAACTGCGTTAGTATTACTTTTTAATGCCTCGTGTCGGAATCTGCAGTCAGAGCCTGCTCGACAAACACCTTTCTTGAAAAAGTAACAGTCCACAGTTTTGCGGAGGGTCGTCCCCTGTGGGTTGAAGCAGCATACTGTAATTCGAACGCTAGTGTTTCTAAAAATCACTTCGATCATGGTTTGCACTATCTTCCAGTCCAACCCATCTAAACCACATCCAATCTTCGGGATCGCCAAGCTATTTATGTCATAGTATGCCATGAGTTTCTTTAAGTTTTTTTAAAGCAGACCAGAGGTTTTCATAGGTGGGTTTGCCTTCTGACGTTTTCTTTGAAACCAAGTAGAACAAAGAGCGTTGACTATCTTCCAAGCGCAGGACTTTACCCACTCGTGGTCTTTGCTTTAACAACTCGTCCATTCTTCCAAATCTTTTCCGGAATACGGAAGCTATACCTCTACCCATGCGAAAGTCTTCGGCGACACAATGGGCGATGGAAACGTTAACCGGAAGCTCAAAAATATTTTGACAAATTTCCTGAGTAACGCCAAATCGAGCTTTCTTCCGCTGGGCGTAATTTGACATAAAATCGTTAAAATTTGGCTCGATCCCAAAGCTGCGTTCCTCTTCTCGAATACCTCTAACTTCTTCGTTGTTGTTGGATCCGGCATATCGTGCGAGTCGATTAATGTGGACAACTTTCGGTTTCCGGTGGTTCATTCTGATACGATATATCACGTCATTTATTTTCTTGATCACCTCATATGGACCTTCCCATTGTCTTTGTAGCTTGGGAGAAAGACCTCTTCGCCTCTGTGGATTGTGCAGCCATACCAGATCTCCAGCTTCAAAAGTTTCATTGGCCGAGCGGAGGTTGTATTGATTTTTCATGCGATCGCTGGCAATCTGAATATGACTTCTAGCCAAGTCGTGAATGTCGTTCATCTTCGCCTTTAGTTGGTCAACATAATTTTCACCTGCGACATATTCTTCATGGGGTTTACGCCCAAACTCGAGGTCACATGGAAGGCGTAGTTCACGACCCAACATAAGGCAGGCAGGAGTCTGACCCGTGGTCTCGTTAACGGCTGATCGATATGCCATAAGGAACAGGTGGAGATACTGGTCCCAATTTTTCTGATGTTCTGCCACGACTTTTGAAAGATATTTACCCATCGTTCGATTCATTCTCTCCACCATTCCATCTGACTGAGGATGCAAAGGTGTTGTTCTGGTTTTATTGGCTCCTACCAATCGACAAACATCTTGGAACAAAGCCGATTCAAAGTTCCTTCCTTGATCTGAATGGATTTCTATAGGAACACCAAAACGTGTAAAGAACTCCTTTACCAACACTTCTGCAACTGTTGCTGCCTCTTGGTTTGGAATGGCGTAAGCTTCAGTCCACTTTGTGAAATAATCCATAGCGACTAGGATATATTTATTTCCGCCATCTGTCTCGGGAAACGGTCCTGCGATATCGATAGCAACTCGTTCCATCGGACTACCAACGTTATACTGCCTCATGGGTGCCTTCTTCTTGGAAACTGGTCCGTTTCCAGTAGCACATAACTCACATTTTTGACACCATCGCCGGACATCTTCTTTACGGTTGACCCAATAGAATCGCTCACGTACCCTTTGCAACGTTTTCGTAATACCAAAGTGTCCTCCGGAAGCGCCGTCATGCAATTTTCGCAATACTTCCGACACTTTGCTTCTAGGTACTACTAATTGCAGCGTCGATTCGGTGCCATCTTCACTTTCAAGGGTCCTATACAACAGGTTGTCTTTCAGAGTCAGGCTATTCCATTGGCCCCAATAACTCTTTACTTCAGGACTTGTGGCACTAATGTCTTGCCAGCCTGGTCTTTGTCCGTGGCGCATCCAATTCAGAACAGTTTTTATACTTGGGTCGTTTTCTTGGGCCGTTTTGATTTCGCTTGGCTTCCATTCCTCACTCTCTACAGTTGTTCGTCGCAGATGGCCAATCTTGTCTTCTATTTTAGAACAATGTGTGCAGTTGTCTTTGCACGGTCTTCTTGACAAAGCGTCTGCATTACTCAGAACTTTTCCAGACGACGTAATGTTTACAGTGAAGACCGGGGCTTTGTTTCTGCAGGTCGGGGATAGCCCCTTCCTGTCGAACTTTCTTAGTTTTCCGACTGCTGTAATGGTTTTTGGCAGTTGCGGCGAACGTGTCCAATCTCGCCGTGGTTCACGTTTCTTTGCCAGTGACTGTATTGCTTTATTGATCTTTTCTTCCACTTCTTTACTGACCTTTTCTTCAAAACTTTCAGAGCCACCTTCCTCTTCGATTGTTCTTACCCGGCTGTCACTGCGAGGTTCCACCATACGTACTCGCGCACTTCCATGACTAGCTTTCTTGGCGGCTTGGAATTCTAACGCACGGGCCAAAGCTTTCTCAATTTTGTCGTGCCTAGCCCGTCTCAAAGCCTGCTGGGCATCTCCATCACGAACGGCATCGATAAATGTTTGTACAGCCAGTTGATCAAGAAAGCTCTCCGGTGCCGTAGGGTATGCCAATCGAATCAGTCTAGCGATGTCCGCTTCAAGTTCCTGCAAACTTTCTCCAGGTTTCTGCATTCGGTTCTTGACTTGGGCATAGTAAACTTGCTGAAGGTGTTTATCGCCATATCGCATTTCGAGTCGCGCTACGATTTGTTGGAAGTTCTGTTGATCCTCGGGGATAGTCCGCAACACATCCAGAGCATCTCCTCTCAGAGCAAGAATCAGGGCTGTAGTTTTGTCTTGAAGAGTCCATTTATTTGCCGCAGCCGCTGCTTCAAACTGTCGAACGTACGAGGTCCAAGGAATCTTACCATCAAAAGTAGGTGGCTTTACTCGGGCTTGCTGAACGTCGCCTTCTACTCTTGTATTTGTTTCTGGGGCACTACTAGTACGCTCTTTCGTAGTCAGTCGCAAGAATTGCTTCATACTTGTGCTCAATCTCGACGAATGTTGCTTTAAATGTTTTGGAAACTTCCGTAATTCTATCTTCAACTTTTTCTTCAATTGATTTAGAGACTTCTTCGATAATCTTTCTAGAATTTTCCTCCATCTTTTCGAACTTCTCGTCCATTTTCTCGAATTTTTCTTCAATATTTCTAGAATTTTCTTCCAACTTCTCTTGAATATTTCTAGAATTTTCTTGGGTGCTTTTCATTTCTTGTTGCAACACCTGTTGGCCATTTTGTATTTGCTGGAGCAAATTGAGCATCGTTTCTTCCATTTTAGCGGCAGTAGATCTTGTTACAGGCATACACAAGCACAAGCACTTAATTTAATCTTACTTTTAATTAATTTAATTAATCCCACTTCTGACACCAATGTAACGTTATTTATAAATTTCGGGTTCGATTTATATCAATATTTATTAAACAAAACTAAAACACTATAAAATCCGTACAATTTATATCGATTATTTATATCACACACTTCGACATTTATATCAGCTTTTCGCGCTCGATGTTTCATACGTACTCGTTCCGTAGTAGACTGCCGCGATGTTCGGTCCGCAACCATTTATACACGCAAGCAATGTAAGTCCAGTACATTCTCGAATGTTCCTACAAATTCCACTATCGCGCGCGTAGAAAATTCCAGATAATTCTGGAGCATTTCCGTTACAATAAATTAAAAAGCCCTCCTAGAAGTACAGTTTTATCTGCTGTCTAGTCGCGCCTAGCTCATGTTCTCCCGATGTCCCGATGGTACGATTTGAGGGAAGTGTCAATACAAAAACAAAATAATCATTCTATGGTTTTTCTAAACTTCGAGTATGATGTGTTGTCTATATACCAGGTGTGAATATGCATATCGCTGCTGTAATATTGTTACATCCAGGCCCGTAGCTAGGACGTGGTCATGGTCAGCGGGGGCTGAGCCCCACCTGGAACGTGGTCTTGCCGCCACTGGAAGATACGGTTGATGGTTCCTTTATAAAAATTACAAGGGTAATCTTTATCAAAACCTTCTTA